GATAGGAAACAGCCTCTAGTTGCACCAGAGAAGGTTTAGACTGGATATTAGGAAAAATTTCTCCACCAAAAGGGTTGTCACGCATTGGAACAGGCTGCCCAGGGAAGCGGTTAAGTCACCATCCTCGGAGGTATTTAAAAGATGTGTAGATGTGGTGCTTAGGGACATGGTTTAGGAATGGAGTTGTCAGTGTTAGGTTTATAGTTGGATTCGATGATCTTAAAGGTCTTTTCCAACCTAAATGATTCTATGATTCTACTCTATGATATAGTCTACCTGGACTCCACAAAGGCTGTTGACATTGTCTCCCAAAAGATCCTCACAGAAAAGCTGTTGATGTATGGACTGGATAAGCAGATAGTGAGGTGGGCTGAAAAGTGGCTGAACGGCCAGGCCCAGAGGGTGGTGATCAGTGGCACAAAGTCTAGTTGGAGGCCAGTACCTGTTTAACATCTTCATTAATGATCTGGACAGTGGGGCAGAGTGTACCCTCAGTGAGTTTGCAGCAGACACCAAACTGGGAGCAGTAGTATACCTCTGGCAATTAAGAGAACAGTAATAATGGTATACTTCTCACTAATTTTTTTTTTTTTTTTTATTGTAAGAAACTCTGTTGGCTTTCTTTTAATACAATATTTAATTATTAAAGGTTCTTACATATCAAGGATTTTACGATGAAAATCTGGAATGGGTTGGTTTAGAAAACATCCAAATTGTGGCTTCCATGTCTGCTGGAGGAACATTAGGAAGACATAAACTTACGTCCAGATTTACTTCTATTGTTCGTCTCTGTGCAATTGAGTAAGTATGTGGAAATTAGTTTGACCCTCAGAACTCAGATTCAGCCTCTGTTTATAGGGCCCTTGCTGAATGTAGTCTTTATGAAAAAGTGTCTGTTCTAGTCTCTCATCTTTTCTAACAGTTTGGGATCTTCAGATTTGGTGCCATTTGGTGCCTCTTGGCACTAGAAACCAGCTAAGGAGCAATCTGTAGCTACCTGTTGATAATGAAGTGTTTGAAATATGTTTCCTGTTGGACGATTTTGCTTTCAGTAAACTGCTTTCTGCAGCTTTACATTAAAGTGCTGTTTGGTTACAAAATTAGAGAAATTGAAAAGAAGTTTGTTTGTTTTTAAGTTTGAACACATTTACAAATGTATTTAGAAAATTTCTGAGGGTGGCCTATTGCAATAAAATGGTGATTTTACTTAGCTGCTAGATGGAGATGCTATTCATGGAAATTTCTCAGTAATTGTGTAACTTTGAATCATTTTAATAAAAAAAAATTAACAATGATAGTCCATAATGATTGCTTTTTTTTTTCCTTTATAGCTATCCAGAAAGAGACCAACTGCAAACTATTTATAGTGCCTACTTGGAACCTGTACTACAGAAAAACCTAAAGAATCACCCTGTTTGGGGTTCTTTACCAAAAATACATCAGCTAGCAGGATCTATGGTTCAAGTATATGAACAGGCATGGAAATCTAATTTCTTTTTTCAAGGAGATGGAGAATTCACAATTTGTTTTTTTTAAAGAATTAGCTTTTGATAGTAACAAGGGAATAAAAAGGTTTATCAATATTAAAATCTGTTTATATCTTTTTCATAATGTTGATACAAGTTTTAAAGCTACTTATTTGCAGAGAATCCTAGGTATTAGAGGGAAACTGAGTAAGTGGTAAGTGCTCTTGCTTTCCCACAGATTTATTGTATGATTTTGGCATGCATCTTAAGCCATCTATACTTTCAGTTCCTGATATAGAAAAGGTGGATAATAGCGTTTTCCTACTTACTTGATGAGGAGGCAGTGTACTTTAAAGATTCCTATGTGCTCAGATGTTATGGATGTTATTATGACTACAGAAGAGAGATATGAGAGTGGAGTCCCTTATTACACATCAAGGACTATCTATTAAAATTTTATACAGTTAAAAATAGGTGCTTACGCCCACAAGTTCTTTTTATCCTCCCACTTAAAATTTTTTGGACCTCTACCTAGCAAAGCACTTAAGTACTTGCTTTTCTTAATCATGTACATAGCCTTACTGGGGTAGATACTGTGGGGATGTAAGCACTTACTATATGTTCCAAGAATATATGCATGTCCCCATCTAGACAGAACCATGATGCAAAACCCATCTTTATGACTGGAATGTAGGTATAGTCACTGGCTAGCATGCACCAATTAGCAGGAGTTTCATATGATAATATCAATGTATTCTAAGAAATCTAAGTTTAAATCGCATCACACAAGGACCAAATAACAGATGAAGGCAGTTGTTCTTCGAATTAAAGGTAGAGTTCTAAATTCAAATATCCTCTTTGGGGGAAGAGTTAGTGTTTCTATAAGTCTTTTGTAGTGACTAAGTGTTACTGATTTAGGTAGTTTTTCATTACACTTTTGTATTTCCTTTGCATTTTATATTTGATGTTGCTTTAAAAAATTGTATGTTTTGTCTAATAATACTGCCCTAACAGTCCTAAGTGACATATGTAGTTGTTGTTTGCATCAAAAATGGTACAGAAGAAAGGTTCTAATTACGAGGAAATCTTTCGTGCTCAGAAAACAAGATTTAAACAATTCATCTCTGCACTTTCAGAAAAACCCTAAAGAATGCATTAATAAAATATTTAAATATATAGTCCTAATAGAAAACTAATTTATCTGGTATTTTAGAAAAATCTGAAGCTACGCTTCCAAGTTCTTTACATTTTAAAACATCACTCCCCACCCCATTCTGTTTTTAGGTACGAGCGAAATTCACAGTTGATGATCACAGTCATTACCTTTTTACACCATGTATTCTTACTCAGTGGGTTCTTGGTTTATTCAGATACGATTTAGCAGGTGGTAAGTCCCTTATTTGTTTTTTGTTTATAAAACAGTTCTAAAATGGCCTAAATTATTATTGATGTCAGTCTTACTGTTGACTTCACATGGAACTAATTCACCTATGGTACTCTTTCTATAATGTGAACTGTCTGTAACTCAGTAGAGGGAAAAAAATGTCTAACAGTTCATTCCATAACATGTAAATAAGTTTAAAACACTCAATGATGTTTTAAAATATGTGTGGGAGCTACTTACAGATTAAGGGAAGTTAGTAGGTTGGGATTGCATTCTCTACTATGGGAACTTGAAGTGTACCCCCTACTCTTCACCTTTTTTTTCTGGTTTTTGGGGGTTTTGGGTTGGGGGCTTTTTTTAGCATATGTTTTGTCTTCTGGATTCTCAGAGGCTTGCCTCTCATGCTTCTCTTTTTGTACCTGGTTGTATAAACCTGGTGAGGTGACTGTGGAACTATAAATGATACACATCATTTATGACCTACTTAACAAAAGAAGAATATAACCACCCTTAAATATAAAGAAATTATAGAAAACTCTCTCATCTGTATAAAAGTTTACAAATACCTATATAAGAGCCTAAATATTCTCACAGTTTTTGAATGCTTGATAATTACAGTCTAATCTCAAAGTTCTTCTTTCCTTAACTTTGGAAATGGTAAAATTTGGAAGGGTATTCAGTTTTGTGTGCTTTTCCAAATAGACAGCATAGGTTTCTTCCTAATACCATTTTTGTCTTTGAAATTGCTATTATTACTAGATCATGAGAAATTACTCCTTATTGTGTTTTAGCACTTAGATTAATTAAAGGGTTACATAGAGGGCTGCTTAGAGAGTATAAAAGTGAGAAGAATGTTATGTTCATATTCCATTGATTTCCTGGGATCATCAGATGGTATAGATGTAGCTTGAATGAGGTCAGAAAAGCTACACTGACAGTCAATGAATGGGTAATCTCCACCTGTTTAAGGACTCCATTGTTGTATCTTAAGGTGACATACGCACACGCTTTTTCAGTGATGAGCAATATGGCATGTCATTTACTCATCTCACCTTCTTTCTTACTTTTGTGAAGAATGTTGAAGCTTTGTATTCTCTAGTGGCATTTTATAATACAGACTGTTTTGGGTATTTATTTTTATTTTAGTATTTATTATCAGCCTTTCTCTTCCCCTTTAAAACAGTCTCCTGGCTTTTTTTGTTTTCATTGCCTGGAATTTTGTCTTTCAATTTTTACTTCGTGTGCAACACCTTATTCATTTTCTTTAGAATGCTGGCACTACACTGGAGAACTTATTTTAGTAGAATATGTTTCATTTTATCTTGTAATGATCCATAAAGTTATTATTAAAAAGCACTTCATAATGTTTACTTTTTTCTCTTATTTCTTCCTTACTGATGCTCTCCTGCTGGTATGTAATTTCACTTACTCATTTTCAATCTTGTATTTTGAAATGGAAAATTTGAGAAATGTAAAATTTATTATAAATATATAAAGTTAAATCTCTCCTTAAATTTTGTAGGATCATCGATACAAACTGTAGACTATGTATTGGAAATTGTTGCTTACGAAGCACGTCGTTTGTTCCGTGACAAACTTGTTGGCATGAAAGAAGTCCATGTATTTGATAATGTTTTGATGAAAGTGTTTCAAGGTGATTGGGGCTCAGATGTTCTGGACAATATGGCAGGGGAAACACTTAACAAACTTGAAACGTTTGTTTAGGAACTGCCTAATCAAATCAGTCTGATCATGTCAGATAGCGTGTGAACTGAGCACCTAAACTTTTGAATGTTTTCTTTTATTTTCACAGATATCTTCTATGTAACTTGGGGAGCTTGTCAAGAGGCGTTCATCACACCAGGACAGGCACTACCACCACATGGGAGACCACTTGGCAGACTAAACTCAACAGACCTGAAAGATATTATTCAAAAAGTGAGACAAGATTAAGAATATACACAGCAAGGATTCACAGCAATTATTCTAGACATTTTTTAGAGGAAGTAACATGCGAGCACTAGGTTTTGGGTGGGGTCTGCTGCTTGTTCGAGGAATCATCTTTTGCATTTGGTCTAGTGAGGGGAGTTTGTCATGGTAGGTGGCAGGCAGTAGGAAGTATCATGTAGCAAGATTATTTTAACAAAAGGACAGCAGTCACATTTGCTGGTAATTTACAACAGTTTGCTGAATAACATTTTGAGAAACATTGATGTGCGTATATGTTTGTGTATTGTTTGAGTACCAAAGTGTTTTATTAAATGTTTAGTTTCTGAATTTGTAATTTGCTAATGTAATTTTTATTTGAAGAAACACAAATGGATTGTGTGGAGATTTGGCATGCTTTTAAACAGTAAAGTACAAAAAGTGAGCTTGATGACGAAATGCAAACATGTTAACTCTGCTAGACGGACTGATTGTCAGGATGAGAGCTTTGAAATCATCTCCCCTTTTTAGTAGTGTTTGATGGAAACTAGGAAACTAGTAGATAGGAGACTACTCCCTCTTCTTAATTGCCAATAGACCAATAGACTATATGGGAAATGAAGAAGTTCAATAGCCTCAGTAATCAGTGTGTTTGGGTTTTTTCTGACTACGCAATTACATTGGGCTTCAAAGATGAGGTTTTATTAAGTATAGCAAGGCCAGAATTTAATTTTAGGATCTGTTATTATGTGTGTTTCACTAGGAAATTCCATAATCTGCAATTATGCAGCAATTAGCTGCCTAAAACACTCTTCTAAGTTATAGCAATATTAATTAATCTGTAGTCAGAGACACAGTTCAGACTTTGTTCTGGTCCATTATTTAATTTTAATTAATTCATTGGTAGATTTCTATTTCAATATATCAAAGGCTTCTAGGATATCCTGGTGCTGGGGTAATGTGATTTGTTCATTACTGGTAAAGGGTATGTGAGGTATCTGAATTCTGTCACGTAAATAATTTATTTGTAATGAATCCCAATGTGGTCTCTTAAGCTTTCAAGCCCTTCTTTTCTAAATTTTTAAATGTTGGATGCTTTCATATCTTACTGCTTTTAGTTATTATTAGTGAACACATTTCTTTTTTTTCTTTTTTAATAGGGTATTATTCATTATGGGCGAGACAAAAAAGAGACAGAGATTTTACTGTTCCAAGAAGTCCTCAGTTATATGTCTAAAGTGGACAGAGTGCTAAGTTTTCCTGGAGGATCGCTTCTTTTGGCAGGACGGAGTGGTGTAGGTCGTCGAACAGTTACCTCTTTAGTTAGTCATATGCACGGAGCTGTTCTGATTACTCCCAAAATTTCCAGAGGCTATGAGCTGAAGCAGTTCAAAAATGATCTTCAATATGTAAGTCACTCAGTGTCTTCCATTTTGTAGTGTTGTAGGTGTGTATTAAAAAAAAAAGAATACGGGAATTTTGAAAGACACAAAAGTGTTGTGTGAAGAGATATTTTAAGAAAAGCAAAATGTCAACAGTCTAAATGAAACAAGTAGATTTTTAGAAGTTCTCAGTGTTTAGATATGCATACTGTTCTTTATAGTAATTACCTGAAACTCTACTTTTTTGAATGCCAGAGCTGTTTTTATGAGTGTTGTGGACTTCATAAATTCTAAGCTTGTGTGAATTTTGGAAAGGTTTATTTCATGTATATATTTTCATATTTGTATATATTTTTGTATTCTGTCTCTGCTATGGTCTGCCAGTTAATAGGATAGTAGCTGAATCAAGTAAAATTTTAGTGATTGATGAAAGTGTACATATTATTTAAAAACAAATGCAAACCTTGAATCAGGAGTTTCCCAGTACCTTCAGCAATGCTAAAGAAAATTCTAGAGCTAAACCCACACAAAAGAGCGATACAACTCTATAATTGAATCACATCTGGAACATAAATATACTCTATGAAAGAGTCTGTTTTAATTATTTTTTCATTACCAAGCTGTACATCTAGGAAGAATGTTCTTTATATTTGGTATCTCATATAACTGAATCACCTAGTAATATTTTGTAAATATGTAACGGTTTAGATGATGTGGAAAAAAAATGTATGTAATATATAATCAAGGAAAGATTATCATTCCCTTATGAACAATACATATATTCCATATACTGAGATGTAAATGTCTTCCCTGCTTCTAGGTGATGGAGCTTGCGGGCATTGAAGCACAGCAGGTGGTATTGCTGCTTGAAGACTATCAGTTTGTTCATTCCACGTTCCTTGAGATGATCAACAGTTTACTGTCTTCAGGTGAGACGAGATCAAAAAGATTATGGTACTATTACCACACAGAGCTAGCTCAATTAGGCAGAATAGGTGATGTTTTCTAACTTTATGTCCATACCAGAAGTGTTAGTTAGCTTTCTGCACTGTTTTGGCTAGAGTGCTTGTACATGAGAAACTGACTTGAAGTTCACTTAGCTATCCTTTAACCTACCCTACAGTACAGGTGCTTTCAATTCCTCAAAGTTGCAAGTTAAGTAACTTATTTCAAAGGAGTTCTTTATAATAGTGTAACAACAAAATAATGATGTATTCTACTCTACCGCTTCCCTTTTCTAATAGAATTCAAAATTGAGAAGCGTCCCCCAATGTTTTACTAGATTGTATAGACTGAGTCCTTTACTTAAATGAACACCAGCAAAGCCCACTTTTCTGAAGGTAATGAGATGATAAATAATAATAACAAATAACAAAAGTGACTTTATTTGGTTATCTAGCTTTGTTCCTCAATCAGAGAGATCATTGAAGGACTGAGCCTAACTAGCTAAATGTTTTTTGGAACTGCAGTAGTTTAAGAGCTGATTGATAAGAGCACCAGATTTTCCTGTCTCTCAGGTGCAAATCCAAGTCTCCTTACAGTATCAGATTCTCGCCATCCATCCTTCATGTCTGATGACCTAGATAACTACTTTCTTTCATTTTTCTGTTTTCTGGTGTATGACAAAATCTGGTTTGATTTGGTTTGTATGCAGTATTGGATCACTGTCTTTGCACAGATTTGAATTAGTTTTCGAAGTATATTTCAGTAATATAAACAAAGTAGGCTAAGTTAAATAGAATCACTATAATTTGGTTTGTTGTTTTCATGATGTCATGCAAGAAATGATGAAGTATATGGGATGATACTCATGAAAGTATGGAGGTGAATACTGCCATACTCAAATTCTCTGTACAGAGAATTCAAGGGAAGCCTTCAAAGGAATTTAAAGAATTATAGTGGATTTGATCTGACATTTTAAATTCATTCTTCAAATAGGAGAAGTTCCTGGGCTATATAAAATAGAAGAATTAGAACCATTGCTATCTCCTCTGAAGGATCAAGCTTCACAAGATGGATTTACAGGACCGATTTTCAACTATTTCACATACCGTATGTGAACAGAATTATAGGTTATAATCTATTACAAGGTTACAAAAGTGCTATCATAATGGACAAATAATTTCTAACATGGTCCTTGTTTTGTGTGCATTTTTAACTTTCAGTTAGTTATTAAAACCCAGGCAGGAATAATGATTACAGTGTGATATTTGAGGGCACAGAACCCTCAGCTTAAAATTCATTCTTCTATCTGAAATTTTGTATCCATGAATGTTCCATGAATGTTCTACAAAGCTGTTATGAAATCTGCTGTTGAAAGTAATTAGAAGGAAGAGAGCTTTTGTCACCATCGTTTTCTGGTTTGTTGAGCTTATATATCTAGTAACAGTTTTCTTGTATTTGTCAATTATACCTACAAATCACTTTGGATTCTGAGTAGTCATAAGCAAGTTTACAGCTAGGTTTCTTAATTATTTGTGTTTCTTCCTTAGACCAACAAGAAGATTAAATAGTTTACAAATAAATAGAAGAATGTGACTGAAAGAATACAGATATTGGCAGTCATACTCACGGGCCCTGGAACTACTTCTAATTAGTTCTATTGGTCTATATTGATTGGAATGAGAACGAGTGGTATCCATTTAAATAGTCAGTTCTTATAAATTAAAAAAATACACTGTAATATACATAATGAGAATCCATTGTATTAAATTTATTTATTTAAGTTCTGTTTATAAACATTCCTGCCCTAGTGTGATGTGGTGTAATAGTAACTTTTTTCAGAAATTACCTTGTGATATGTGTTTGAAGAACAGTGAATTATTTGTATTTGTAATCAATCTACCATCATGTAGTCAGATTGTTATCTACTAAATATGTAATATGTTGCATTTTCTTAGGGATCCAACAAAATCTGCATGTTGTCTTGATCATGGATTCTACCAATTTAAATTTCACAATAAACTGTGAAAGTAATCCAGCACTGTACAAGAAATGTCAGGTTCTGTGGATGGAAACCTGGTCAGAAAACAGTATGAAAAAGGTAAATTGCATTTCTTAAAAACTGTGACTTGTTTAAATGAGGGTCTCCAAAAATAACTGAGTTTTGGTGAATAAGATCAATATATTTAAAGTTGTGAAGGAATAATTGTCACTGTGCTTATTTAATCCATTTGTGCAGTCCTACAAAGACAAAAAAATCTACAGAACAGTTAAGTAATATTAACATTGTTATTTTACCAGTAACATTATGTTTTGTTCTCTCTGTGGGCTGACTTGAACAAAATACTGACTGCTATGACTCTGATCAAACCACAGCATTTAAGAACAAACTACAACTAGACTGCAAGCAAAATGTTAATGTCAACTATGCTGATGATATCTCCTGTTACTAGCATGGCTGAAAGATAGTTTAAAAATGCTATGTGTATATGAGCTGCTATAAGTCTAAGATAGCACTGTAAACCTTATGTTATTCTTGAATCTTTGTTAAGTGTTTTGCTTGATGGAACGGAGTCAGTGTGTTCTTTTTAGGATCAAAATCTGCTTATTTCAGGATGTTCACAGTGTAAGTTTGAGAAAGATATATATCACTCTACACGTTAAGAGGTTGCCAAATCCAGTACCCTGATAGGGGCAGGGCTGCCACAGCTTCACAGCGTAACTTGAACCAGTGGTGAAGCTGAGTATGTATTCCCAGTAGACACATACACAAACACACATATATAGCGCATATGTACATGTGATTGGCCACACAGAACAACACAAACAGAAACCCTCAGCACAAACACAAACAACACCATTGGCATCAAGCTGTTTCCCTCTCTGAGTGATCGCAACCCATTAGTGGCAAATATGTACACGTGCAGAATGTGGATCCCCCTACTAGCTGGGCATAGGCACACAACCCCTCCAGTAGTTGCCTCTGGATCGCCTGGTCTCCCCAGTTGCTGGCATCTGGATGTACAAGCTCCTAAGGCCGCAGCCGCACCCCAGCTGGTGGTACAAACTGCCTCACTGCGCGTGTGCATGCGCACATGCACAGTGGATCCTTCCAGTAACTGGGCTTAGACATCCAGTCCATCCGGTAGCTGGCCTTGGATCTAGGATCTCCCCATTGCATCCTGCACAGGCACATATGCATACATGTACACACACACAGAGGCACATGCAGTTGGATCTCATTTGACTCCCAGACTCTACAGTCTCTCAGGCAGTTGGCCTGGACCTTCTAGTCCCTCTGGCAGCCAACTCCTGAAGGTGCCTCACCAAACCATACTAAGTCTTGTGCAATCTGAAATGCTCTTCCACTGCATTCCATAATGTGTCCCAAGCATCCTATGCAGTAACCCCCTACTGAAAGGTAGTCTGGCCTCTCGCATTGACTCATCATGATGGGTTTCACAGCTGGACTATGGAGTTGGTCACTCTCCTGGGAGAGCCATGGGAGCAGCTAGCACAGAGTGTCCATTTCTGCCTGGGTTACTGGGGCTCCTCCACCTGCCATTGTGCCGCAGTTTCAATGGCAGGTTGTACTGAAAGTTCTTTTTCGCAAAAATGTTTGGACCAGCTCTGTCCACAGTTAAAAAATGTTTTTCAGAGTATTTTCACTTTCACTTCAGTAGGGATTTTTTTTTAAGTGGAGTCTTATCATTTAGTCATATGCCAGAACTTTTGAATATACTTTGTTTATTTTTACCATTATACTTAAGACTGTCTGATTTCATGTTGAATTATATACCTTTTTACATCTTTAACATTTGTGTTATTGTAAGAGTCCTCTGAGAATTAGTTGCTCTTTCTTACAGCCAGCAAAAGCTCTCTGCTTGAGACAACAGGAAGTTATCAGTTACAGGAAAAGACTGAATTGATCTTTTTAATGCTATAAATATTCTGTAAATACCTTATTCTGAATAAAGCTATCATGTTCAGTTTTTTCAAATGAAAAACTAGATTAAAGGTTTTTTTTTTTTTTAACTCAAATTTTAATTCTTTGTAATTTTCATATAAAAAATCACGTTCATTTTTTTAGATACCTGAAATGCTTCTGTATGATTCAGATGAACAAGAAAAGACTGGAAAAGCACATAAAGAACTTAAGAAAAAACATTCAGGTAATATTTAGGTGGACCCATTAGCTATTATTATTAAACACTTGCTCAGTTCTGGATTGGGCATAGATAATAGCATAGGTACTTTGAGTATGTTTTTGCCAGCATATTCATAGACTTTAGTATTGTTCACATGGCAGGCATTTTGCGGAAGGGAACATTAGTGTGGAACATACATCTTGGCTTATCAAACCCAGTCTCTTCTGTCGCAAGCAGTCACTGTGTATATTCAATTTTATAAACTGATTAAACTGCATCTTGTTTTGTTTTGTTCTGTGTCTTCCTTCTATGTGGATGTTATTTCACAACCTAAAAATTTGATGTTTTGAGGGTTTTTCTACTTTCCAGTCTATATGTTTTCATTATTCTTGTCCTAGACCTGTTCATTTTACTTTAATAATTCTTTAACTCAGATAACTTTAATTCTTGTAAGTAATGCCCCTTTTCCAGAATAATTTGTTTTTTATAATAAAACTTCAAATTTAACCATTTTAAAAATAGGGTGTCAAACATAATCTGAGAGACCAGTGCCAGCACTCATTTGCAAGGTATTAATTTTAGCCACTTCTTATAAACCAATAGTCTAAGTAACACTTAGAAGTCATGGAGTCAACAGAGTATAAAATGGTAAGTGGTTCACTTGGGATTTCTTGTTTTGTATTGCTTTTTAATAGGCATTCCAGCCCATCAGAATGATGGCCAATCTTAGGATTTAGTGTCCATGCTATCATCCATCTTTATCCTAGGTCATGGTACTTAATCTATGCCTTAGTACTTATTAAAGGCATTCATTTGTATGTAGATATGTTTTAGCAATTTTTTTCTTTTGTAGGGTAATATAATTCATTTTACAGTATCTTTGGGCTTCTTTTGAGAAACACTGTTCAACAAACAGAAGCACCTGGAATGTTCAGAAAAACTTTTTAGTCTACCTGTCATCAGAGACAAGGGAGAAGACAAAAACACTTGGTCCTCCTTTCTAAAAAATCCATGTATTTTCACATTCAATTTCTGTGGAAATAAAGTTTCTTTTATGGTTAACCCTCAGTAATCTGCAGTTAATTTTGCCTGCTTTTCCAAACATCAATGAAATATTTTACAGCTTTGAAACAATTTCAGTGTATTTCTTTCTGAGGAATATGTATTTCAAATGTAATTACATGTTGTTTCCCTGAGAGTACTTTGAAAAAAGTGTATTCTTTGTGATATTTTTAATGCCCTTAATTCATATCTCAAAAACCACATTTTGTTGCTCTTCCTTAGTTATTTTAATGTGAGATAAGAATGAGTATATTATTAAATGTGTAACAAATTATGTTGTACAGGTGATTCTGAGTTTCTCAAGTCATTTCTGGCAATCCATGAATCCTGTAAAATGTATGGAGCAACACCCAGCAGATATATGACATTCCTTCATATATACAATACCATCAATAACAGTAAAAGAAGACAGCTGATAAAAAGGCAGAATCACTTGCAGGTATGTATTTAAAACATTTTTAACATTTTCAAAATACTCTCATGTTTGGAAATGCCTTGTGTATTAATGGGCTGTAGCTGCTAACCTGGTTGTGTGGGGTGTCCTCTGTTGGCATATGCTCATGCTGTGGTTTCAGGAGAGGAATAGTATGAATCTTAATGCACATCTCTGTTCAAACGCCTCAAAGAGTGAAGAGTGTTTTCTTGTTTTTCCTCAAGGATGTATCAGACTGGGTATGTTTTCTTGGAAGAGTAAAAAGTACTTGAAAGCGCTTTAAATTTTTTCACCCATACGTATTGGAATTGTGTTGCAAACAACTCGTCATCTTTCCATCAATTTAAGTCCTGCCTCTGCTTGTATAAATTTTCCCTATGTAGCTGCATATTCCATCTCTTTCTTTATTCTCTGCAGCAACTTCCTGCTTTGTGTGATTCTTGCATCCTTCTAGTTCAACAAGCTGTTATCTTTAACCTCATGGTGCTCTTGTGTAGCTTTGGCCAAGGTTCCCTTTGTTGTGATTTTCTCTCATTTTGTGTTTTGGAATTGATTTCAAATTGCTTTTCCACACATCAAACCTTTACACAGTTCTAGACCAAATGAAGTTCATCTCACAGATGTCGCTTTACTCCTGTTCTGTATGCATAACATGCTTATTTTTGAAACCCATTTGTTATCTTTCCAGTGATACTTCCTTCCCTCCTCCACCCCCAGTATATTTCTGGAAAGATCTGTATGATCCTTTAGGACACGTAACTTTTCTCTTTACCCTTCTCCCTTCCCTTTCAGCTCCTTTTCCCAATGACCCTTGCTACTCTTCTGAAACCACACTTGCAAAGCTGTATTTCTTCTTAAAGCATCTGTCAAAACCAAATTACTTCCTTGCCTTGTATTCTACACTGTTTTTATTCTGCCTGCCAATATTTTTCCGTCACTGTAGTAGGCAATTTAAGAAGATTTACATTTGTAATGGTAGAAATTGCTTTTTTATTTATTTAGAAAGTAGCTATGGTTTGTTTGTGACAAACACTCATTTACTTGTTAAATGCTCTGGTTAAATAAAAGTAATGATTTACATGAAAATTAGAGATGTGTATCCTAAATCAAAACATCTTCCAGGAAATATTTTTTTTCAAATATATCCTGAAATAATTCTATTATCTGATTACCATGGAGTAAATAATTTAGAAAGTGTGACTAAAGAAAATAATTAATCTTAAGCATGATTGAGGATTTGTTTTATGTGCATCTATGTTCTTTAGAGAATGTACAAATATGTAGAAATAGGATAATCTAGTTTGTTTCAATTTGTTTAATTTTTGTGGATTTGCTTTTAGAGGACATATAGTTACATGGAGTCATGTCCTGGTTTCAGCTGAAACCGACATGTTTCAGTTAACTGAAATGCTATCGAATTAATGAGAAAAAGATTATGTACTAGTTGCTGTTCCACTAAAAGTTTGTTATTTTGAGAATTTCATTTTCAGCTTTTTGATGTAGTAATAGATCTTACAGTGAGACATCTAGAAGTGTCAAGTGTCATTTTTGGGTTAAATAATACTAAGAAAATGTAAATAATATCGAGAAAATGTGGGACATAAATTAAAAAATAAAGAATATTAGTCTACATCACTCTTAGTTTATGCATGCTATTTGTACCCAACCTTCATTTAAATCTGTTTAAAATTCATTGCTAAAGAACTGCTTCTTATAAACTTTTGTAGGCAGGTGTTTCAAAGCTGAATGAAGCTAAAGCCCTGGTAGATCAACTGAACAGAAAAGCTGGAGAACAAAGTATTTTACTCAAAATGAAGCAGGATGAGGCTGATGCTGCCCTTCAAGAAATTACAGTATCTATGCAGGTGTTGTATATGATCACATCAAAAGTAAAAAAAAAAAAAGAGAGGTTTTTCTATTTTTGGTCTCCATAACTGCCTGTGCTTTGTATTCTTTTCAAGGGTTACCAAATCTTATGCTTTTACAAGAATTTGCCTAAGGGAATGCATGAGCCCTGAAGCTTGAATAAACTTGCAACAGGATAGAGGATTATATAATTTAAATCATATTTGGACTGATTGACTTAGGAAGAGATCAGTGCAAGTTTTGCACCTGTGTAGTATTTACTGCTGTAGTTTAGTCTGAAAGTTTTCCTAGAACTTCATAAATCCAGACTGATCCATTTTATAATGTTTATTACAGATAGGAACTTTCAACAAAATACTGATAAGTAGCCCTATTTTAAGTAACAAATACCAGGAATTAAATTTGTAGACTATTAGAAAGTATGTATTTCATGAGGTCCAGTCCTCTGAACTTACCCTCAAAGAAGGTTAAGTAATACTTCTGTGTTCATCACTCCTTGTATTTTTATTCTTCAGCTCAGAGGTAGACCTTCTGTTTTTTGAGGAGGTAATTTTCTTTAGTAGTGTTTTCTCAGTTAAGTAAAATAATGGTGCAGAAAACAGATCTCTACATTGATACTTCCAGAAATCATAAATGTAGGATAAGCCATAATGAATCTGCTGTCACTGCACTGATTGATCTGAAGCAAACTTAAATATAGAAGCTCAATGACAAAGACATTCTCTGGATGTAGTAAAGTAGATGCCTGCTCTTTCAAACCCTTTGGTTCACAGTGCTTTAAAGGTGCATTACTTCCCATTTTTATAAGTCTACTTCTGTTGGCAATTTTTAATACTTTTAGCCTCTATCTGCCTACTGTACATGAATTTGAATAATGATGATTGGCTTGGTACGTTCACTGCTGGCCTCAAAGAATTTATTACGCCATTTTTCCTGATTTCTGTTTTAAAGCTGTTTCTGCTGTTGTCCAGTAGAGTTAGGGGCTGTGTGGGTAGCACATATTACATTGTAGGAAAAAATCAAAGAATAGGCCAAAAGCAATGAAACATGATGGGTCCACTGACATCAGAAAATTTACAGTGGAATTCTGATTATTTAGATTAGCATAAACTATAGGTGCCCTCTAACATTTTAATGTCACTTCAAATGTTCTAGTTTATGTAAGAGAGGGGGCTCTAATACATATAGACTCTTTTAATCTTCTTTCAGAGCAAGGCTTTTGACCTACAACTGAATTTTAAGGTTTTCTTATTCAGAGCTATCATTCGGTACATGTACATTTGCATGAAATGTCTAAGCTGGTTTTACGTAGTTAATGTTTTATAGATTTGAATGTAATCTTCAATGACATGCTGGTCTACAGCTTGGGCTAAGTGCTCAGAAAGATTATTATTAATCTCAAGGTTTTCTCTGCTTATATACATCTATTACTTTCTGCCACAAGTTCAACTCAGCTTGACAATTGCTAGTTATAATAATGTGTTATATACTGGAAAACATAAAAACGTAAACTCTGGGCTTTGTTGTCTTGTATCTTTTAGGTGAACTGAACCTAGAATATTTGTCTCTTATTGTATGGATTTATACTCAGTTATTTGTTTTGTAACTGGTATTGGTAGTCCCTTTTTTTTTTTTTTTTTTTTGTTACCTTCGGGATATGTAAGGTCCTTTTTATTGTAGTTTTATATATTAGGTATTTATTGTTGAACTGAAGTGCTTAGGAGTCCTGGAGATGGCTAATAGCTACTGTCTGCTCTATGGTAGGCACAGTACAATCCAGGAGAAAAAAAAAAGGATATAAACCCCAACAGCTTACAATATACGTGTAGGACATAAGACAGGTATCCTTACAGACAGATGGGTGCAAATTTACAAGTAAATAGTGTATTAGTATTTTTAGGCTAATAGGCTGTAGTTCCAACATAACTGCTGCTTTTATGAACATTATAGGAAAGGAGAGTTTTAGTGGTGTCATGAAAGAAATAGAAATGTGAGCAGCTACAAAGACAATGGCAGGAAGGTATTACTTTCAAATGTAGTAAGAATGTTACAGAGGCTGTCACTCTTATCCTTTTAGAGGAGAACTGACATCTTTATAAGGAATGGAAAATCAGAGGCAAGGAGAAAAAAGGTCATAATGAGCCTCAAAAATAGAGGTACAGATCTTGTCTGTGGTAAAGAAAGGGAAGGAGACACAGTAAAAGCAAAAGATGCTTATTTCATATAATTTAGTTACATAAATATAAGCTTAAGCCCAATACTTATGTATTTTTTGAATCAAACTGTCTAGTATCAAATAGTCTCAAATATTTTATTGTAATTGCTATTGTGCAAATTATATTATAATCAAGACTAAAAGAAATAAGAGACCTAAAGGAATAAAATCTGTGTAAATTTGAAAACAAAAGGTATTCTTTTTTTTACAGAGTGCCAGTGAGCAAAAAACAGAAATGGAAAAGATAAAACATCGGATAGCAGAAGAGGCTGCAGAAATAGAAGAAAGAAAAAGAAAAATTGAAGATGAACTAAAAGAGGTTCAGGTAAGAGCTGATAAGGAAAAGTAGTCTTTATTTGACTCACTCAAGTCCTGCCATGCAAAATGGTTCTGCAAAATTTATCCCTGCATTTCTTAAATTTCACTTTAAATTATTTTGATATTAAAACATTTATGCATTAGAAAACAGTATTCTATTTGCCAGATTTAGATTGTCATTTTGGCGTTTGTGTTCTATTAAATCTTAATTACAGAAAGAATTTTCAGGCCGAATCATAGAATCATAGAATCATTAAG